ATAGGTGACCACAATTTAAGCAATAATATTCGAAACTAATATTTATAATTTTATTGATTTCTAATTATAGCCACGTTAGTAATTGCGCATGAGCCGTAGTCAGAACGCAAGGCTTCCGCCATTCGCCGGCGAGTTACTTGCAGCCAACGCCTTCTCTAATACATAGAGTAGGTCGTGGTACAGCAAACAAGACTATCTCTATATTTGCCACAATAACCATATTAAACACGATTTCTATTTTCTGGTTTTTTTTTTCAAACAACCTTCGATGGGGGGGGGGGGGGGGCAATCAAGGACTATCTCGACGTCAACGCAGACAGTGACTGCGACATTAACTTCATTAACCGTGTTAGACACGTGCGATTTCTATTGTTGTGTCGTTTCATTAATATATCTGGAGTATCTGTCTACGAGAAAACAATTGCCTGTTGTTTTGAATTGTGTTTTAATCAGGACACAATAGTAGGGACACACATCTCTAATAGTTAAGTTCTCTTTTCATTGATCCGATTAAGTGGCTACTTGGTCGAATGGTTAGAACACTGGGTTCCTGTGCGGGAGACCTGGGTTCGAATCCGCAGTAGTTAATTTTTTTTTTTTACCCAGGACTAAAATAATATCCTCATCTGCTCTGTCGTGGTGACAGCACTAGCCATGTTGCCTTAATATTAAAAAAAAAAAAAACAAGTAAATGGGTAAACCATTTGATAATTAAATTTGACCATTTCGCATACTTATGATTGCATTTTTAAACTTTCCGATTGCATGGTTACGCTGAAATTTCATAGATTTTCATTTAGATTTATTTATTTCATCTGCGTTGGAATTTTAAGCTGTGCTGTTTACCATGGCGTTCATTTCCTAATTATGGTGTTTTTTTCCTGTGTTCATTTGCTTTTCAAGTGTTGTTTTTTTCTCCCAACTACTTCAATGAGGGTAAGAGTTGTCGGTGAATTTGGGAGGGGGGGGGGGGGTGGCAAACTATTAACTGAGAGAGCTTTAAGTCACAGTAACGCCTTACCCACTTAAAGTAGCAGCAGCAGTAATAGTTGTGGTTGGGCTGTTACACCATAGTGCTCTGATGTGAAGACCGCCGGTAAGGTTATGGCGTTCTTCTGTCGGCAAGTGAAATTATACATCCTAACCTGACCAGTCTGTGGCGACAGCACTAGCCATGCGAAACCAAATCTTCTGGCTCACGACTCTCTGTCTACTCCGATGGTAACACAGATAGCAGTGACATTATTTTAGTAGTTGTACTGGTACTTGAAAGATGATGTGGTAAATATTACACTAGCCCCATTCACTACCTATTACAATTCCTGCTCACCATTTTAGTCCAGATGGACAGGGATGTCAATGTCAGTTACAGCAACAACAAAATATCGCCAGGTAGTGATTTTCAAATCCTTCGAAGAGGGAGAGAGCAGTAGTCGGTGGAAGAGGGGAGGGGAGGGGGTAATGACTTAAATTTAAGAGAACTTAAAGAGCTTTACACGTGATTTTCAAGTTCTCATTACCTAATTTGTTTATATTTTACTAACGCTACCTCCACTTTTCTATTTTTTACGACTCACTTTGTTATTCACAAGTACAGTTGTAGCTTTACTTCCGTCCCCTATAAAAATACATACAGCTTTAGCATGTTATAACCAAATAACCATTTTTGTTACTGTGCTAATAACACCATTTAAACGACCGCTAATATAAAGACACAATTATAAGGTGCGTGTCCTAAAGTTTGAAAACCAGACTATCTCTATATCTGTGCAGAGAATGATTGCGACATTAACTATATTAGACATGTGCGATTTCCATTGTCTTTCTTTTCCAAAAACCTTTGATGAAGGAGAGAGTAGTAGGTGGATTTAGTTGTGGTGGTGGGGGGGGGGTGGCGGGGATCAAAGACTATCTCTATATCTGAGCAGACAATGATTGTATTAGACACGTGCGATTTCTATTTTCTTTCATTTCCATTTAGCCAAACTATGCCACAGCAACGCGTGGCCGGGTACAGCTAGTATATATATATATATATATATATATATATATATATATATATATATATATATATATATATATATATATATCGTCAGGTGTATTACGAAAATATTTGCACGAACAAATAATGAAGCACAAAACATGAATCCTATCAACGGGAAGAAGAAGCATGGGCTGAGTCGTGCAGAATGACAATAGGTAACACCTGGTTTAAGCACCATCCTCGAAGATTGTGGACTTGGGAAAAGTCCTGGTGATAATGTCCGCAATCAGATTGATTATATTTTGATTTCAAGACGATTCTAGAGCAGCTTAGTTGGAGCAAAAACTAGACCAGGGGCAGCTGCTTTAGTGACCATGTTCCAGTTGTAGGAAAAAAATAGAATAACAATAAAGAACATTAGAGAAACACCACAGAACATCAAGTTAAATTTAGGAATTCTTAGAACGGATAAAGATATTAAGGAACAGTACAATGTCACTGTACAAAACCGGTATAATGCAATGGAAGTTTAATAGACTATTGATGAACAGTGGGATATGTTGCGTGAGTCAATTCAGCAGACATCTAAAGAGACAATCCCACCAACCCATAGAGTTGCAAAAAAGAAATGGGTGTCAACCGAAATTCTGCAGTTGATGGGTGAAAGAATGAAGAAAAAGAATGATAAAGAAGAATACTCTAGAATACAAAAAGAAATAGTGAACAAATGCAGAGTGACTAAAGAAGCCTGGCTGAATCAATTGTGTAAAGAGATTGGGGAAAACAACAGGAAAGACTCACATTCCATGTACCAACAGATAAATATGTCAACAGGAAAGATGACACATAACAGCACTCGATGTTTGAAATCAAAAGATGGTGACTTATTAATGGGACATAGTAATATAATTACCAGATAAACAGAGTATATAGGGGAATTGTATGATGATAATAGACCAGACGTAGAACTGCAGACCAACAATTATGGTCCACCAATAATGACTGGAGAAGTTGAGGATGCACCCGGGCCAGACAACATCTCACTGGAAGAAATCGAAGCACTGGGAAATTTTTGAACTGAAATAATAACTAAACTTTTCAATGATATTTATAATAGTGGGTATATTCCAAATGACCTTTTAAAATCCATATTTATAGCTCTGCCAAAGAAACCAGGCACTTTAAAATGTGAAGACCATCGCACAATAAGTCTTATGAGTCACATGACTAAGATTTTACTGAGAATAATTATGAGAAGAATAAGAAACAAAATTAAACCAGAAATCAGCGATGAACAATGTGGATTTGTAGAGGGAAAAGGTACAAACAATGCCATATACATCCTAAGGACATTGTCAGAAAGAGCTATAGAAGTAAAGACTGATTTGCACTTATGCTTCATAGACTATACAAAAGCATTTGACTGTGTGAAGCACAAAGAAGTAATCAAACTGTTAGAAAAATTAAACATTGATGGGAAAGATCTACGAATAATAAAGAATATGTATTGGCAGCAAACAGCAGCTATAAGAATTAACATCTGTTTAGGTACATTTCAAAGCACAAAGAGAGCGATCGACAAGGATGTGTACTTTCACCTGATTTTGTTTCAATATACAGTAAATAAATAATGAGATCTTTAATTGATATGCCCGGAATTTTGGTTGGTGGGCACAATATAAACAATTTATGTTATGCTGATGACACAGTGTTGATAGCAACAAGTCAGAAAGAATTACAGGAAATGACAGACATTGTGGTGTTAGAAATTGGAAGAGTGGGCCTCAGTTTGAATAATGGGAAGACAGAAGTAATGGTGGTATCAAAGAAACAAATTATTCCTAAATGTGTAGTAAAAGTCAATGGTGTTATTTTAGAACAAGTACAGAAATTTAAGTATCTGGGCACATGGATAACATCAGATGGAGGATGCATAACTGAGATAAGGACAGGCAAAAACTGCATTTTATAAAATTAAAAACATCTTGTGCAATATATCCTTGTCATTGAGAGTTAGAAAAATAATTCTTGCTTTCTACATACATCCAGTTTTAACATATGGCTGTGAATCCTGGACAAATGGTAGGCAGGCCAAACAATTTTTAGATGCCTCAGAGATGTGGTTTTACAGAAGAATGCTAAGGATACCTTGGACAGCCAAAAAGAACAACCAAGAGGTTTTGACAGAGGCGGGAGCTCGAAGACAACTTATCACAGACATCAGAAGGAGACAGTCATCCTTTTTCGGCCATGTTTTGAGAAGAGGGAAAATAGAACATGTTGTGACCTCTGGAAAGATCTGTGGAAGGAGGGATAGAGGAAGACAACGAGAGAAGATGCTTGACAGTCTTGTTGCATGGCATGGAGGTGCATCGGCACACGAACTGATACATGCTGCAGGAGATCGCAGATTATGGAGAGGCATGATCGCCCACGCCAGTTGGCAAGGCACCTGATGATGATGATGATGATCAACGGGAACGCACATCTGATTTTGTTTCATGTTTCACAGTACTCCCACGTCTCATCAGGAAAGTCTCTGAAGTCTACGATTAACCACGTAATTTATTTATTTGCATAATTTCGTATTTGACCCGCCTGTCCCCGATTATTTCAGCGGAAGCTCGTTTTCATTATGTGCTAGAAAACATGGAAGGCACTATACCTAAAAATCATTGAATGATATAGAAGCATTTTTCGCTTTCCTTTTTATCGATTTCTGCTTGTAGAGTCTCTATTTATTGTTTGTATAATTATTGTATAATGGTATCTGCTCTTCTGCTCTCTCTGTTGTCCCTTATCGCCACTGGATCTTGAGTAGCACGGGGCTTAAACAAAAGTATACAAATAAATTCAACTTCGATAGACGCAGTGTGAAGTTTGCGCTAATTTAAATTTATTGTTTTTAATTTTGTTTCAGAATGCAAGAGGTAACTAGTTCTGGTCAAATGTACGACACAGCGGTCTCATTAACAGAGGACAATAATGAATTTCAACCAATGGAGATCCTGTGTAAGTTTAACATGTGTTTGTTGTGTGGTCTAGATAGCAGATGTAGAGTTTGTTGTGTGGTCTAGATAGCAGATGTAGAGTTTGTTGTGTGGTCTAGATAGAAGATGTAGAGTTTGTTGTGTGGTCTAGATAGCTGATGTAGAGTTTGTTGTGTGGTCTAGATAGCAGGTGTAGAGTTTGTTGTGTGGTCTAGATAGCAGATGTAGAGTTTGTTGTGTGGTCTAGATAGCTGATGTAGAGTTTGTTGTGTGGTCTAGATAGTAGATGTCGAGTTTGTTGTCTGGTCTAGATAGCAGATGTAGAGTTTGTTGTGTGGTCTAGATAGCAGATGTAGAGTTTGTTGTCTGGTCTAGATAGCAGATGTAGAGTTTGTTGTGTGGTCTAGATAGCAGATGTAGAGTTTGTTGTGTGGTCTAGATAGCAGATGTAGAGTTTGTTGTGTGGTCTAGATAGCTGATGTAGAGTTTGTTGTGTGGTTTAGATAGCAGATGTAGAGTTTGTTGTGTGGTCTAGATAGCAGATGTAGAGTTTGTTGTGTGGTTTAGATAGCAGATGTAGAGTTTGTTGTGTGGTCTAGATAGCAGATGTAGAGTTTGTTGTGTGGTCTAGATAGCAGATGTAGAGTTTGTTGTGTGGTCTAGATAGCAGATGTAGAGTTTGTTGTGTGGTCTAGATAGCAGATGTAGAGTTTGTTGTCTGGTATAGATAGCAAGTGTATACTTTGTTGTCTGGTGTAGATAGCAGATATGGACTTTGTTGTCTGGTGTAGATAGCAGATATGGACTTTGTTGTCTGGTGTAGATAGCAGATATGGACTTTGTTGTCTGGTGTAGATAGCAGATGTAGACTTTGTTGTCTGGTGTAGATAGCAGATGTAGACTTAGTTGTCTGATGTAGATATCAGATGTAGACTTTGTTGTCTGATGTAGATAGCAGATGTAGAGTTTGTTGTCTGGTGTAGATAGCAGATGTAGACTTTGTTGTCTAGTGACGATATCAGATGTAGTGTTTGTTGTCTGGTGTAGATGTCAGATGTAGACTTTGTTGTCTGGTGTAGAAAGCAGATATAGACTTTGTTGTCTGGTGTAGATAGCAGATGTAGACTTTGTTGTCTGGTGTGGATAGCAGATGTAGACTTAGTTGTCTTGTGTGGATAGCAGATGTAGACTTTGTTGTCTGGAGTCGATCGCAGATGTGGACTTTGTTGTCTAATGTAGATAGCAGATGTAGAGTTTTTTGTCTGGTGTAGATAGCAGATGTACACTTTTTGGTGTGCTGTAGATGACAGATTTGGAATATAATATCTTGTGTAGATTGCAGATATATAATTTCTTGTCTAATGTAGATGGCAAATGTAGAGTTTATTGTCTGTTGTAGATGACATATTTTTTTCCTTCTGTAGATAACAGATGTAGAGATTGTTGTTTGGTGTAGAAGCAGGTGTAGAGTTTGTTGTCTGGTGTAGATGATAGATTTATAGTGTGTTGTCTTCTGTTGATGGTAGAGTTTGTTGTCTGTTGTAGATGACAGATGTATAAACCGTTGTCTGATGTAGATAGCAGATGTAGAAATTTAATGTCTGATGTAGATGGCAAGTATAGAGTTCGTTGTCTGATGTAGATGACAGATTTGTAGTTTTTCATGCGGTGTAGTTAAGAGATGTCGATATTTTTTGCTGTTGTGTGGTCTAGATGGCAGATTTGGAATATGTTATCTGGTGTAGATGACAGATGTAGAGTTTGCTTCTTTTGTAGAAAGCAGATGTAGAATTTGGTATCTGGTGTACATGAGAGTTGTAGAAACTGTTGTCTGATGTAGATGGCAATGGTAGAAATTGTTGTCTAAAGTAGATTGCAGACGTTGAGTTTGTTGTGTGGGGTAGACAGTAATTGTAAAGTTTGTTGTCTGGTGTATTTGGTATATTTAGAGCTTTTTTTTTTTTTTTTTTTTGTATAGACAGCAGATGCAAACTGTATTGTCTGAAGTACACAGTAGATGCATGTTTTTGTTTGTTTTTAAATCTGATTTTGACAGTAAACGGGAGGCATGCGTGGCCCTACCCAACAATAGATAGCAAAGAAGACAGTAAGTAGTAAACACCGTGGTCTTTCTCCAAGGTGCATAAAGACACCCACTGATAGACGTGTGAAACCCTCTGATACAAACTGAAAGAGACAATAAACAAGAGACAAAAGCTAGCGCCCTATCCTCAGGTAGATACCAAAACCGACAGACAGTAAACGAGAGAGATGGCCGGAGAGCTTCGTTAATGAATGCATGAAAGTCGGCAGATACATAGCTAATAAAATCAAGAAATGTCAACCAGACAGGGAAATCGTAGGTAAGATAAAATCACAATTGCCAAAAGTTGTAACAGTTCGGTTGGATAGCTATGGCAACATAAAAATTGGGAACCTTGTCTTTACAGGAAACCGCAAACCAACCATAGAAATTGTTGGATGTTGTGGTACTACTAGGAACATGTAACTTTCAGTAGTTTGTCTTTGCTTGCTGAACACCTTGATATGCATACATTTGTCGAAGCAATCTACTGTCAAATCGTCAACTGTCAAATCGTCATCTGTCAAATCGTCTACTGTCAAATCGTCTACTGTCAAATTGTCTACTGTCAAATCGTCTACTGTCAAATCGCCCACTGTCAAATCGTCCACTGTCAAATTGTCTACTGTCAAATTGTCTACTGTCAAATCGTCTACTGTCAAATCGTCAACTGTCAAATCGTCTACTGTCAAATCGCCCACTGTCAAATCGTCTACTGTCAAATTGTCTACTGTCAAATCGTCTACTGTCAAATCGCCCACTGTCAAATCGTCTACTGTCAAATCGTCTACTGTCAAATCGTCATCTGTCAAATCGTCTACTGTCAAATCGTCTACTGTCAAATCGTCTACTGTCAAATCGTCTACTGTCAAATCGTCAACTGTCAAATTGTCTACTGTCAAATTGTCTACTGTCAAATCGTCTACTGTCAAATCGTCTACGGTCAAATCGTCAACTGTCAAATCGTCTACTGTCAAATCGCCCACTGTCAAATCGTCAACTGTCAAATCGTCTACTGTCAAATTTTCTACTGTCAAATCGTCTACTGTCAAATCGTCTACTGTCAAATCGTCTACTGTCAACTCGTCTACTATCACTTCGCCTGCAGTCACTTCGCCTGCTATCAGTTCCCTTGTTGTCAGTGATGCTGCTGCTGCTGCTGCTGCTGCTGCTGAATAGAACATGGTGTCTTGTAAACTACGCTCACAAACCCCATACTGCGGCCTAAAGTCTTATTCTTTCTTATCTTTTTCTAAGTAATTGTCTAGTTAGTTAGTCGACAAATTATCTTTATTGCACATCCATCCATTCAGTCCATGAGTACTCTGATCCCCTTCTTAGTAAATCCTGCAGCCTGTAGGTGCTAATGCCGCCAGGTCTGTGTTGGTTTTTTATTCTTCTTTGGCTTCCTGCAGACTGCTCTTGTCTGGTCATACCCTTTTTAACATGTTGTTTTTGCAGTCTGGTCTTTGTTGCAGATTCACAGTCATTACTTTGTTCCCGCCACATCTGCTCGGCAGTACTTTAAACGGTAACCCTAGGGATGAGATAGATCTATTATTTGTCACTACGAATTGTGTCCCCTACAGTCACCGCTTAACTCTTTAAGGCCCAAACAACGGTGTGAGCGTAGTTTGAGAAGTTCCGTTCTGCCCAAACAACGGTGTCATCGTTAATCGTGTATCTCTTACATTTTGCTTTGCATGCACGTTCGTACTAGTTTCTAATGTTTGGAGGTACGAAAAACCTATTCAGGGAAAGACACTCTGCCGAAATCCTTTTAGTTTCGGTTCTTGGACTAAACCACACGTGGATAATTTGTGAGAAAAAAACATCAAAATTTTTTTAACAGTTTATTTTCTAAGTTCGTTTTTGAGTGCACTGAATACCAATGTTCTAACCACAAGAACAGGTCGCAGAATGCGACTTTCTGTGGCCGTAGCTCTGAAATTGTTTCAGTCAGATGTTTTTAATTGTGATAATGATAATAAAAATTTAGATTTTTCGGAAAGTGATTCGGACAGTGAATTTTCACCAGTGAAGCTGAGCGATCAGCTGTTCGGAATATAGCGATTCTGATGAGTTTATTACACAGACAATGTCCCATACTACCGTATTTATGGTGTAAGAGAAGGAAAGTACTCTAAACAAAGAGATAGTACTATACTATGGCTAAGCTACATTGAAATCATCGCAGCTACAGTCTGTAAATAACTACAAAGTGAATAGTAAATAGTGTGTGTGTTATGGCTCATTTTTCTGCCATTTTTTTTCTCTGAAATTTTGCTTAGCACTCGGTGGGAACTAAGAGCCCCTGAGTGATAAACTAACCAAGAAAGTTATCATAACTTTAGAATATGTTAGGAAATTGAACAAACTTTGAAGTTTTGTTCTCAAATTTAGATATTTACTATTCTTGTGGCTGCAAAACCATGGTAAGTGAAGAATTTTTTTGTGAAATATTGTCCTTGTGAAATTAACACCTGCTGAATTCTTCTTTTCCACTGACTATAACAAAATTAAACAAACACTTTTCATCAGATTCAGAATGTACACTCATTTCTCGTTTGAAAAAAATATATACTTTTATAGGGATTAGAAGTATATTACAATATCTACAGCCTTTCTTGTACACCCACCCCTCTGCCATTTTTGTAAAGGGAAATTAATGTGGGCCAAGTCTGTCAAAATTCATGGGCCTGAAAGAGTTAAAACATTGGCCTCTGTGTCCATTAGATTTCTGAAGCACGGCTTTTTTTGACAGTCGGTGCCAGGGCATTTTGTCAGGTGGTGAGACCATCCTATCTGTTGTTCTTTAAAAAACTCTATGACTGGCTTCAGTCCATGTATGTCTTTGAGTGTGTGAGTGCGCGCCTGTTTCTGTGTGTGTGTCTGTGTGTTTGGCTGCCCGTGTGGCTGTAAGTGTGTCCGTGTGACTGTGTT